CAATCAAAAGACAAAAGAAAAGGTTAGTTGAAAGTAAAGCGTTCATTAATCCCGTTGGGACTAAGAGTGCCCAATAGGTCCGAAACGTCAGTACGTTTTTTCATCTTTTCACGGTGTATAATTTACCTTTTCATCATTACTGAAAAAATATCAGAGATAATATCCATAATTTCTAATATACCGCTTAAAATACTTTTATGTATATACAAAAGTATCATAATGTCTGCATGTATATATACATACATATACTATAGATATATAAATCTGGGTGCTTAAGTCTATACTGTGGGTAGAGTGCTCGCATGCAATAAGTTGCAGAGCGTAATAGATATTCTTAAGTCATGAAAAGGAATGTTTGAAAACCAATATACTACTGTATTAATAGCAATTCCATGTTCTTAATGTTTTTGAAAGCGAAATTTTCCTAGACAAGACAAGCCTATTAGACAACCTGTTTTCAATTAGGTTTTTTAAAAGAGCTCGAGTATGGTTATTAGAGCCTTAAGCTTTCGCTCTTAAAACATTAATCTGCATGACTTCACAAAGTCGGATTACTCTTTCGTAATGTCTAAGGTTTACTTCACGCACATCAGTAGTTGATATAGTCATATAGAAATGGATTTGGGAAGACCGAGTTGAATCCTAAAAATAGATAGCTAAGTATATAAATAGCACTATATTAGGTGCGAAAAATAAGAACATTTATTATAATGGCATTCTATAGCATCTACAGCTTTTTATTTATTTATTTTTTCTTTCTTCAACTCAATTGTCGTTTAATTTGGACTGCTCTTTGACGCGAAGCTTTGAATGACAATCTAAATTTCGCTAAATGTATTTTTTATATCGACTTTGTCTGAGAAAAGGATTTTGTTCTTAGTTACAGATATAGAGACTTTTGTGAGCTTCATGTTCATCATTCCGTCCCATTTGTTATATTTCTTTTGGCTTTCTAGATCTTTCTTTGCTTTGCTTTGCTTTGCTTTGCTTTGCTTTGCTTTGCATTCCATTCTATTTCATTCCATTCCTTTCCTTTCCTTTCTATTTTGTCTATATTTCTCTCTTAGTCATGATTTGGTAGTTAGCCATTTTTACAAGTGAATTACCCTTTTATATTGAACAATGAACGACTTTGATTGTTTATATCTTCACAGGCTGAATGAAAATGCCATCTCTACGTGTGGAAACAAAAGGTAATAGATATTGTAAAAACATTTAAAAAATAAACAACAATAGGTAGTCTGATAATTAAATGATTGTAAACACATACGCACACAATAATTCTGCGCAAAGAAAACAAAGTAAAATTGGCATTGTATCTATTAGGTAAACGAAATAAATACAACATGCTTACTGACGTCGGTAAAGCGACGTAGAATTTAATGTATAAAAACGAGGGAAAAGTTTAACAAAAAAGCATCCAAAATAGCAAATTAAAAAGGCAAAGCAATCGAAAAATATAAATAATAAATGTTTAAAATCAACAAGAAATCGAAAGCAAAAATGTGTACTGTGTTTTCACTCATATATATTCAACTTAATTTCATCAAGAAAGAAAGACAAAAAAGAAAGAGAAAAAGAAAAAGGAGATTAAAAATTAACTGAAAGCCATATGCAAAATCATTGACTCTTTCGTACATATATACAAGTATATATACACCTACTTGCAAGAACGTAGTCATACGAAAATAGAACATTAGTGATTTAGTGGGATAGGAATTATATTAAAAAACAAAAGAAGATCACTGAAGCTGAACTTTTTCTTTTGTTTTTTAATGAATTCCTTTCTCACTAAATTACTAATGTTCTATTCTTGTATGACAACGTTCTTGCAAGTAGGCGTACATTTATACAAGATAAAAAGTATATCAAAAATTGTGGGATATCATCCCCGATATTTTTTCCGAGTTACGTCATGATGAGTCTATCACATATGCAAGCAAAGAAGAAGAATATAAAATAAAAGCAACACGCAGTAAACACAATTAAAGAAAATATTTACGAAAACTAGGCTTAAAGCGCGTATATAGGGTATAGGAACTGCATGTTCTAGGCAGCCATTGCGGAACTCTTGACGTTTTTAAATACTGTTTTATTGCGACTATATGCAAGCCAGTACAATCTATTGCTAGTAAAGATAAAAACGGGCCGGAGATCTAAGATGGTGATACAAAGCATAACTGAACAAAAAAGCTATTTAGTCCTAAAGTACGTACTAACGACAAAACCGCGGCTTATCCATCTTCCCTGAAATCTTTTTCGTAAATCTTCCTCGATACGTGCCCTGAAACAACCCTTGGGCTGATCTAAATCAGGACGCGGTTGACTCACAAATGAAACCTTGAAACAGCCTCTGGGTTGATCTATGAGTTAGGGTGAGCGTAACTCACAGATCGAACCCTGAAACAACCTCTGGGCTGATCTATAAGTCAGGGTGAATCTAACGAACAGATCGAACCCTGAAATAAGCACTAGGTTGATCTAAGTCAGGACGCGGTTGACTCACAAATAAAACCTTTAAGCAACCTCTGGGCTGATCTAAGTCAGGGCATGGATAATTCATGCACAGATCGAACCCTGAAACAACCTATGGGCTGATCTATAAGTCAGGGTGAATCTAACGAACAGATCAAACCCTGAAACAACCACTGGGTTGAACTATAAGTTAGGGCACGGCTAACTCACAAATCAAACCCTAAAACAAACTCTGGGATCTAAGTCAGGGCATGTCTAACTCACAAATCAAACCTTGAAACAAACTCTGGGATCTAAGTCAGGGCATGTCTAACTCACAAATCGAATTGGAATTTAGCGTATAGGTTTTGCGGAAGGTAGAAAACCAAAGAACGCGGAGAAAACYCATTACGAACTCTACTCACATATGATGGCGAATCCAGGATTCCAACCCGAAATCCCATAGATAAGAGAAGCAAGTAAACTATAACAATAGAACGAGAGCCACTCTTTGGAACCACTGCTAATATATTTTCCATTAATTAATTTATTTTTATTTTTTATTTCATAAACTACCGCTATTCAACCCTCAATTCCTCAAAGATAAGTTCATGCAAAGGTTTTTGGATTCTATTTTCTTTAAACAATTAAAACTTGTTTCTATATTTCATTTTAGATTTCCTATTTTTGGCGAACTTCGGTTGAGCGCGCACTAGACTTTAAGTGGAAGGGCTTATTTTGCGATACATATATAGCTTTTATAATTGTTATAAYGATAAAATTAAGCCTTAGGTAAGACTTTAAATCCCTGAGAGGTTGAGTAACTATGTTTTCTATTTGATTAATCTTTGTTTGTAAGGCCGAGAAAAATAAGACCGAAGAAATTAAGTTAATTGTGCGTGGGTTGTGCTGTAGGTGTCGTTTTTAATTGATAAAAGCGACTTCTTCATAGAACGACAACAAGCTATAGGACTGACAAAATAGAGCAGAGCAGAGCAGATTCGTAATTTACTAAGCACAACACATATTGAATATCTAACAAGGACAAAAACTCTCTCTCTCTATCAAGAGCCTTCTTCTAGCCTGAAGAAACGCAGGTTCTGGGTACGAGATTGCGACAAAAATTATCAACAAGAAAGCGAAAAAATATTACAAATTAACAAAGACCACTGACGTATATAAAATATCTAACAAAAAGAAAAACTTTTGACGTCCATATTGACGCTCGACGCTCGATGCTTGAGATTGCTCTTCATCCCAGATGAAATACTGCCGCTAGACTGCGAAGCACTAGATAATAGAATAATGCTTCGCTTAACTACCAAACAACACTTCTTGTAGTAATTGTCGTCCATCAAATTATGGCGGAGGAAATTATTATACTTTTATGGCAGGCTTATAGGAATTCGAATTGTGATGATAATGTTAATATTGAAGATCGGAGATTTTTGAGTTTGATTTTCTTTTTATCACATATTGATACTATTTTTGAAAACATTTCCGAGGCCGAAATTCCTATCCAACGTTTCCGACTTTTATTGAAAGATTAGAGAAATCACATTTTAAAATCAATAGATGGAGAGATCAATCAAAGCCTCAAGCAATCTAGAAGCGACAATCTTTAAAAGAATCGAAAACTTTTATTACAATTTTTTAAGTTATCTTTTTGGATAATGCTAGAAGGTTGCATCACCATTTTTCTTGACCCTTTGAGAGAAAGCGGACTGGATGCGGTGCGTGGTTGAGGCGATCCAAGTGCGAGGTGCCCGACAATTTTGCTAGCACTTTAAAAAAAGACAATGACACCATGAGTCTTCCAGGTTCTTTTGTTGTTGTTTATTTTAGGGAAGCATTTAGTCACACAGGACATTTCTGTTAGAAACTTTTTTCAATACTTAGGGGAAGGGAGAGGGGTTGTTTAGCCCCGCTCCCGATTTGGCTTTTGCTTTGTTATTTTACATACAAGTGTTATTTTATTTACCACATTTGTGCAACAATCTGTCGTGATCTTCGTCTGCTCCTTTTGACCGTGGAATCAAAATATGAGGCCGTCTTTTGGAAGAGAGGAAATCAGTGTCGAATCTGTACACTCTCGGGGCAGACAATTTACCCTAAAACGAATTCTACAGCAAATCATGTTATAAAACCTTGAGCCAAAGGAGCTAGTAATGAAAGATTGAAAGGCAGGAAATATGATGTAATGTTGTACACAGTGTGTCTACAGTGTGTTACAGAAGTAGAATTCGAGATCGACTTTAGTCCAGAGCTGGACCAACTTTTAGGAAGCGCCCGCGGCGACTGAAGAAAAAATGAATAGCGAAAAGAGACTGGTAAGGATTGTTTTCTTTTCGTGCGCGTGCGCAGTATTTTCTCTTATGTTTGATACATAAATTATAGTTACTTAGGAAAGTGGGTCCAGTTCTGGACTAAGATCGACTTTTGCAACGATGCGCGTGCGTATCAAATTTCCTCGTGCAAAGCAATACCTTCACAATTAGCATTGTTAACAATGGCGCAGCCAATTAAATACGAATTTATAGAAATGCCCAGTTTTGTTATAGAAAAAGTTTTCACTTGACATTTTTGAAAACTGTCAATTGACATCATCGAAAACTGTGTCATGTGACATTAACGAAAACTCTGTCATGTGACATTATCGAAAACTCTGTCATGTGACATTAACGAAAACTCTGTCATGTGACATTATCGAANTGTCATGTGACATTAACGAAAACTCTGTCATGTGACATTATCGAAAACTCTGTCATGTGACATTAACGAAAACTCTGTCATGTGACATTATCGAAAACTCTGTCATATGACATTAACGAAAACTCCGTCATGTGATAACGAAAACTCTGTCATGTGACATTATCGAAAACTCTGTCATGTGACATTAACGAAAACTCTGTCATGTGACATTATCGAAAACTCTGTGATGTGACATTATCGAAAACTCTGTCATGTGACATTAACGAAAACTCTGTGATGTGACATTATTGAAAACTCTGTCATGTGACATTAACGAAAACTCTGTCATGTGACATTATCGAAAACTCTGTCATGTGACATTAACGAAAACTCTGTGATGTGACATTATCGAAACTTCTGTCATGTGACATTATCAAAAACTCTGTCATGTGACATTGTCGAAAATTCTACTGTCAAGTGACATTAACGAAAACTTTGTCAAGTGACACTCGTGAAACTTTGTCACCACGCAACATTTACAACCTGTGTTCGAGTCTTTAGGATCCTGTGAATGCATTCCAAATTGAATCCATCTTCCAAGTATGATTTAATGATTTACTTAGCGCCCTTTATTTACGTCCCGTGGTTCTGTCATATGACATTAACGAAAACTTTGTCAAGTGACACTCGTGAAACTTTGTCACCACTCAACATTTACAACCCGTGTTCGAGTCTTTAGGATCCTGTGAATGCATTCCAAATTGAATCCATCTTCCAAGTGTGATTTAATGATTTACCTAGCGCCCTTTCTTTACGTCCTGTGGTTCTTTCACTCTTCCCTCCGATATTGGTTAGTAATGATGAAGTCCAGGCACTGAAGGTGGTCACTGTCAGGATTTCTTCACCTCCTGTGGTTCTTTCACTCTTCCCTCCGATATTGGTTAGTAATGATGAAGTCCAGGCACTGAGGGTGGTGTCTGTC